AAGCTGTGCAATAGGGGGGACTTCAATTGTACCTGGCTAGAGTCTACAGGTTTCACCATTTTGTGACGTGTGAACTAACAGGAACTAGCGAAAGTGCAAAATGCCCCTGTCAAGCCAAACAGCGTTCAAGTTTTGGGCAAAAAGAAAATCTTTAAAGCTTCCAAATGTTGCGGGCTTCGATCCTACGTCCTTTCTTCATGTTTTTTCATGTGTTGGATGGCGCGGAGGATTAAATGTGAGTATTGCCTATACTTAAAGGAAAGGAATCCATCAATTTACCAATCAACTCGTACAAGAAAAAGTTGTATTGAATCTAGATGGGCATATTTTTTCTTGAATTGTTTCAAAGAAAGGGATGGTTTCGTGGTTTGAAAATGCTTCCCGCGCACTGCCAGAAATGCCCCATCATATTAGAGAAAGGTCTTCTGACTTTTCTTGCAATGGCTTCGTAGAAAGCAAACTTACCTTTTTCCTCAGGAAGTTTTGTTTAAGGGTTTTTACTCGGTGTACAAAAACGTTTTTGACACTTTGGCTCATGAAGACTATGATTTTATCGAGGATCCTACTGTACACTATCCAACTTTTGGCGACGCATCCTCTGATTACGATACGGTACTGTTAACAGAGCTGTTTCCACTTTTCTTCGCAAGTGTTCCAGACAGAACAAGAAGGATCCGCATTTTAGGTGACGGGTCCTTTTTATGGCTTCTGGAGCTCATTTTGTACAGCTCGATCGTTTGCTTGGCTGGATAAATATGATGTACGACAAGCGAATAACAGATATGAGTTACGGCAAATTGAAGCCGAGAACAAGAAGTACCGAGAAGCTGGCAAAGCTGAGCGAAATGAGCAAGTTAGGGTGAGTACCCGATTTAGTAGAATTGTCAGCACATCTATGTGTTCATTAGGCTGTTGATCGAAAAAAAAATCCAACAAAAACTGTTTCAGGAGTTGGTTGCATTTGTCAGGAAACGTGATCCTCGCGTTAAGGCTTATAGGGAACTCTTAGAAAAGCGGCAAGAAGAGGCCAAAAGGAAGCAGGAAGAAAACCGCAAACAGCAGATTCTGCGAAATCAGCAGTTAGTTATCTGATTTGAGTTCCACTTGAGTGGTTCTTTTTATCCTGTCGGTGTGATGATGAATGTGTCAAGGTCGTAGAGCGGATATGATGTAGGGGAAATAGAACTCAGAGTGCGTCCATACTTTGTAAGCGTTTTGAGCGTACGGCACAGCAGCTAGAAAAGCACAGGTGTGCATCTGTTTTATTATGCGTAGAAACGCTAAGTCGATATCTATACTTTATTAGCCGCTACAAACGCTGGTGTACTCTCTAGACGCTTAGAACGCTGGCATATCCTCAAAAGGCTACTGAAAGTATGAAAACGCTCTCATATCTCGCACTTCGTCCACCTTCACACTTCCACTCGATCTTCTGATAAGTTTCCATCAGGCTCCTGTCGGCTTTCCATGAGAATGAACACGCTGTCGCGGCTCATCGGGCACATATGGAAGAACTAACACAACAATTAGCTGATGATGAGACGTGTAGTGAAGTAGAGGACGAAGATGGAGAAGCACTACCGTATTGCGTTGTCTGCGATAAGTCTTTCAAAACTTTGTAAGTTTTTGGATACTGTATTAGATGAACTCTAGCCGTGTAGCGTGAACGGTAATACTACCAGGAATGCAAAAATTAACCACGAGAACTCAAAACAGCATCGAAAGCAGCTTGCTGAGCTAAAGAAACATATGAAGGAAGAGGACCATGCACTCTTTGGTGCGTTTCACTTTTTTTATCTTCTCTTGCTATTATATGAGTCACAGAAGTTTCCTTTGGAGAATTCTTAGATGAATTTTTAGTGAACTCTTCTATTTTTTCCCCCTACATTGTTGTAAGGTACTGAGTCTGCGTCTAAAATTTAGACAGTTGGCGGTATTCGAATGGGGTTAACATCAAAGGAACCCTTTTTAGAGCTTTTTTTTGAAAATTTTCAGAAGAACAGGAAGCCGCGGCTGCTGAGCTCTCTCCGCAGAAACCTGAAGATAGAAAGGGCAAAAAGGCAAAACGAAGAGCAAAGAAGAAAATGGTATGGGATGAGGAGAGTGATGCGGAAGCAGGCGATGCTGGAGAAAGTCCAAAAGAAGATGAAGCTAAAACGTAAGAAGAATTGTTATTTAGTCCTTACCAATACATAACTTGCTACGTCTACCTATCCCCAAAATGGGGTATTACCAGCGGAGTCAGGTATGGATTGGGCGGAGCATGGGCCAAGATAAACAGAGCACGGATGATCCATGCTGAGTGCAGCAAAATTTACGCGACACAGCGGAGATCG